CTGCACTCTGTGCTCTGTTGAGGGGTCCGGTGTGTGAGTCCCATGAGCTTGTGAGAGGGTGCCCAGCTGTGCGTCAGCACCAGCATGCAGGCATTGCGTCCTGAGGGGCTGCCGTCAGCCCCCACACAGGGACTCGGCCCCACACCGCAGGGCTGCTGGCAGCAGTGTCACCATGCACTTGTGGAGGGAGGTAGGCGGAGGGAGGAGGCTTGCAGTGTCAGTGTGTCTCAGCCTGTGTGGGGGTGGCTGTGTGGGGGCGGAGGGCTGCGGCATGCACCAGAACATGTGCCTGCCTGCCGCTCGGATGGCTTGGAGGGAGAGTGAGGAAAGGCCGTCCACCCTTTCGCCCCCGCACCCACCGCCCCTTGAGGTCTTGCTTCCCAATCTTCCATTCTTCGGACCCTGGTCCCTGTATACGATTGCCTCCTAGTCCTGACCTTGCCACTGTCTCACACGGTGATCTCTGGGCATTGTCCCCATCTTTGCAGTGAACAGACATCTCTGCGGTCCTCCCAATTCTGATGATCTGGGAGTCGGAGATTTCCTACGGAGCCTTCCAGAGAGAGGGGCCATAGAGACTAGCAACCCTAATGGGACACCTCAGGCATCTCTGGAGATAGGATCTCCATTTTACAGATAGTAAAGTTGAGATACACAATAGACAAGTGATTCACCCAGGGTGCCCCAGTGAACACAAGTCAGAATCACGATCAAAAAGTAACAGATCGTGAGCAAGAAGAGGGAAGTTCCCCAGACATGGCACCCAGAAGCCCCCTCGGAAAGCTTCCCCACTTGCCCAGGTGCTGGAGACCTGGATGCCATCCCCTGAGCCATGCCTCCATTTCTCCCAGTCCGAGTTTATTCACCTGTAAGACAGAGGAGCCCAGTCTGCCTGCCTCTGAGCTTAGCTAATGGATCGGGAAGTGCCTGCCCCACAGTGCTGCGGATGGAGGGAGGGTGAAAGTAGAATAAAGACCCCATCTGCAGGCAGGTCGGGTGCCTTGGTGTTATCTCCTTCTACAGTGACATTGCCTATTCTCTTGACACCTCTACCAGGGAAGAGCGACATGGCCAAGCATCTTCCATAGATGAGAGATCTGTGGTCCAAGGAATAACCCTAGACCGACCCCAGCACAAGGAGCCACCTCTGGGCACACTGCCCCCTGTAGCAGCCCAGCCCGGCCTGGTGCACAGTGCTGTGCGGTCAGAGGGAGCTCAGCGAGGAACCAGCCCTCTCCTCCCTCTCAGCCTTGCTGGCCACCCACCCCCACCCCCGGTGCTGCCTGAATCAATTTCAGATCCCTGTTTCTGGAGAGAAAAGAGTGGGTTGAGCACTCTCCCTCCCTCCCTCTTCCTTTCTCAAGTGAAATCTCTTTCCGAGGTACAGCCCAGTGATTACCCAGGCTGCAGGGGATTCTCTGCCTCTCTAACCTCTACCTCGGGGGTGGGATCTAAGCCTGGGAGTGTCAGAGGCACCCTTCTCCTCTGCTCCCCCCACCCTGCTTGTCTCTGGGCCCTCCGCTGCTTTCCTGATACCCCCACTCCAACATTTCTGCCCTTCTCAGAGATGCTGGACTTTGGAGAAGGCTAAGTATGCTGGGGACTCTGGCCTGTCCCATGGAGCCGATGCTGCAGCTGCCGCAAGCTAGCTTTTACGCTCATGGTTCTCATCGCAGGACAGAAGGACAGGGTCAAGGTGGAAGGGAATGAGCTCATCTCCGGGTCTAAAAGAGACAGTCTTATCTCACCCTTTAGGGGAAATGCCAGGTTTTCGGCTCTTCTGGATTCATATGGTTCAGTGAGGATTTTAGCCTTGTAGCATCCAGAAGCTCTGGAAGAACCTGCTGAGGGCCTTGCCTCTGGTCCAGGCAGCATGGGTGGCTCGTACACCCATTGCCAGCCCTACTCTGGGCTCCTCAAAGGCCATCAGTGACAAGCCAGGCCTCACCGGGCAGGGCACCAGAAAGCTTAGGAGAGGCATTTGCCCTCCTCCCCAGCTGGGCCACCCAGGGTCCCCCTGAGAGGCCCAACGGCCCCTGTGTCCCATTTAGAATTGACCCAGCTTCGTCTGCCAGTCACCTTGTTGATCATCTGGAATGGGTTCTGGAAGGGGCTCAGGTTCTGGGTGTCAACTGCAGGGTCCCAGCTGAGAGGGGCAGGGGTCACTGATTGATAAGTGGGCCTTGCAAACATTTTCAGTGCCTCTCCTGACAGAGAGGAGCAGGGCCTCTCTGCCAGCCCAAGGGGGAACTTGATCAGCCCCCCACCATCTTTATTTGTCAGCTCCAGACAAAAGGTAAACATCTCAACAGACAGCCCAGCCCCCTTCCTCATCCTGCCCAGCGTTTGAGTACAGCATCTCCATCCCTAGCAGCAGTGTCCTCTCTGAGGCCTATGGCGCCCCGGGCAGGAGGCTGCGTCTCTGCACACACCATCTCATTTAATCCTTACAGCCCTTTTTTATCTCCAGATAGCAGATGGGAGAAAAGTGTCACAGACTGCCTAACGCCACTGAGTTAAGTGTGCGCTTTGTGGCCCCGACTCCCCTACCCCCAACTCCCAGCCCCGCTGGATGCTTGGGTAGACACTGGTGTGCAAAGTGGCACTGCCAGTTTCCTCTGTGATGTGCCCTGGCCTTTGTCAGACAGACCTCAGGCATGCAGCCGGCCACCGCAGCCCTTTCTCTCCTACCCACGCATCTTTCCCTCAGGCCCAGGCCCAGCCTGCCTGAGGTCAAGCAAGCTCCTGACATTGCACACAGCATTTTGTAGGTTTGTGCATTTTTCTGAGAAATGTCAATTTCGACTTTCATCAGATTCCTGGAGGAATATGTGACCTAAAAAAGGTTAAGGGCACCGATGGTTCTGGAAGGAAGAGGTCTCAAATTGATTAGACAAGGCCTGGCCATGCCTGCCACCCTCAGTTTTCTATCATGGGCACACCAGGACCCCTCTCCCCTGAAATCCTGCCCCTGACCTGGGCCCTCTGAGAGCCCAAGCAGGTAGAGGGACTGAGAAGGCTTACAAAGCATCTGTTGGCCAAGTTACCCCCATAAAACCCAGTCTCGGTGATGCTTCATCTCCTCTCGGGGCAGGGCAGCACTTTTGTTTTCACTTTGAGCACTTGAATCACATCCCAACTTCATCTCGCTGTACTCTGTGACGCAGCCCCGCCACAGCTCAGCCTTGCTCGCTCTCTGAAAGGCAGCTCCTGGCTAATCAGAGCTCTTGGGCTCTGGCTAGACACAGGAAACCAGCTGGAGAGAAGGCCCAGCTAGAGTTGGGGGGGCATCCTTATTCTCCAGAACAACCTTAAACATTGGGTTCCTGCCCCCACCTCCAGCACAAAGACTCTCAGAGAAGCAGGAAGTCTTCAGACCAGAGGGAAATCACATCAGCACAAGCACTTGTGTCTGCACAGGGAATTGGCATGTGTCTGTATGTGTCATGGTAGACTGGGTGCACAAGCGTGAGTGTGTGTGTGCAGGCAACTGTTTATACACAGCCATAAACCCACTTCCCACACATATGCAGACACCAGCACGAGCTCACATGCCTACAACACCCACATACCCACATGAGCCCATGAGCCCAGGCCACACACACACATACACACACCTTCCTGTGAGCATGCCCCCATTCCTCACGCAGATGGGCACATCTAGACTCCATAGGAACACTACTGTGTCCACATCTCATCTTGCATCCTTACACACCCCAGGCCCGCACACTTGTGCCTGATTTGCACACAGCTCTGACCTGCCATATGTGTGCACACAGTGACGCATATCCACACCTTCACTCCCACGCAGCCTAGCAAACAGCGCTTCTTGCACACTCACACACAGGCACCCCTCACACCTACTTTCAGGCTTTACACACAAGCACTTCTTCCTGTGTTCACAAGCGAGTGTGTGAATACTGTTTGGGTGCGCACAAGCATACCCTAGAGTCAGTCCTTATACAACACAGTCAATTCCCTCAAAAGTCCTCAAGCAACAACCAGCATTAACCCCCTCCTCAAATGCACACTCCTGCACGTACATCCAAACCTTGCACACCTGTCTACAGAGCCCCTCTTCCAGTGCTCCTGCTGCTACGGCACAAACCAACCAGGGCACTGGCACCCTTTCAGCCATGGGGCGCACTCCACCTCCAAACTGCATCTCAAGCCTTGCTCTATCCTGGGGGCCTCCAGAAGCCTAGCTGGGAGAACCTAGGAACCTTCTCTGAGGCCCTGCTACCCAAGGGGCTCCCTTATCTCCACACCCTCCCAGCCTTCTCTCATCAGCATCAGAAGCACAAAAAGAGCTCTGGGGCTGGGCAACTTTGACAAAAGACCACAGCTTCTGCACCCTTCATAACTCCAGGCCCTCAGTGGTGTCCCCCAGGTTGCTGATTGCCCCTCCTCCCAACAGTGGTCACTTACATATTAACCCATCCTGTGCCAATGCCCTTGTCCTGATAGGAGCTGGGCAGGAGGAGGTGGGAAGGGGAGGTGCTCACAGGACGAAGTTGGCCACTTTGCACTGTGGCTGCAGGCATCTAGCGTCAGGAAGGGGTACCTGCAAGGGGGTGAGCTCTCTGTCACTGGAGCTACCCAATTGAAGCTAGAGTGGGATTCCAGCTTGAACTCAGCTGGGTGGGAAAATCCCTTTTTAACACGGAATTTCTAAGAATCTGTTGTGCCCAGGTCATGTGTACTTGTATGCATGTGTGTGCCACAGGCATACACTAATGTCCCATCAACCTTACACACACACACATATACACACACACACACACAGCACACACACCTGGCTGGCTTGGCACATCTGCACCCACAGACATGCTTATACCCGACTCTGGGCACATTATACACATGCAAGCACCCCTGAACCATGCAGCTTGCCTTCCTCTGTGTGCACGGAGAGCCTCGGAGAGGCAGGCACATGCCCCCACCCCCACCCACCGAAGAGGCTGACCCCTGTGCCCTCTGGGACTCCCTGCGGTGCAACTCACTTTCCCAGTTCCTCGAAGAGCTGGTACTCTTCTGTGAATCGAGTGCAGGTGATGGTGGCCATGCTGGCACTGGGCAGGCAGGCGAGGCTCAGGGTTGGGGAACCAGGACTGGAGCACTGCCGCTCTGCTCCTAGAACTAGGAGCCACTCGCCTGCCCGTACTGCCAAGTGCAAATGGAGAACTGGCTTGACTGACGAGCCTGGGGCTTCTGAGCAGGGCACTGTGGCTGCTCACAGCCTCGCGAGCCTTCGTCAGCATCCAGGTCCCCATGGCAACCACCTCCGAAACGCCCTGTTCCCGTTGCCCCGGTAACTGCCTCCCCAACACCTGCCTGCGTTCCACTGCGAAACCTGCTCCCGGACGGATGCCCTGGCCCTACCGCGCACAATACTGCAGACCTGTGTGGGCTCAGGTGCAGGTGGACCCAACACCACCGGAGTGAGGGACTGAGGCAGGGTGAAGAAGGGGGACAAGAACAAACTTAGTGCACAAGTGATCTCTCTTCCCACCTCCCCCACCTCCAACTGTGGGGCCCTGAGAGCAGACAGGATGGGATTAAGTGGGGCAAAGAGGCAGTTGCCATGGTAACATCCAGCGGGTGCCACATTCCAGGATGGTCCGAAGGAAGGACAGGATATAGTTACCCTGGCAACTTCATCTACTCTGGAGAGACAGGTATTGCCCCGTTGCCCTAGCAACAGCCAGATTCTAAGGTTTACAGGGGAACGATGGTTAATTCATCGGGATATCTCTCTATGGATTGCTGTAGTCTCTGTAACTGTCTCTCTGAGCCCCTCTGCAATTCTGCCTAGTTTTCTCTCTGCCTCTGTCCTTCTTATCTTGCTTTTGCTCTCTCCGCTGTGCTGCCACCCTTTCCATCACCCCGGCACTCCTGCTGGGGAAGAAGTGCAGAGAAGACCCCAGGATTCTGGAGGGCACAGCTCCGGCTGCCTGCTCACCTCTACCTCTTGCAGCAGTGACAGCTGGGTCCCTTTTGAGGCCTCTTTTGCAAGCTCCCCTCCACCCTGTGCCCCAGAGGGACCATGAGATCTGGTCCCCTGGGGCTCATGGCCCAGTTTCTGCAAAACAGGCAAGAGGCAGCTGCTGCAGCTTAGCCAGGGTTAGGGCCATGGCTGTGGACCTGCTCTGTCCTGAAACCTCCATCCTCAAATTCTGTGAACACCTCTGCCAACATCAGTTCTTCAGAGCATCAACCATAACTACAGCCCCAAAACTCACCCTAAGCCCTAAGGGGTTGAGAAGGAAAGGAAGTGGAGTTTAAAGATCAGTGTTCAAGTTCAATATTATTATTATGGTATCATTAGCTGTGTGACCCTGGATAAGTCACTGACCCTGTCAGAGCCTCCAGCTTCTTTTCTATAAAATAAGAGAATAAAACTGTCCCTGTAGAGGAAGGCTGTGAAGACTGAGTGGCCTAATGGCTGTGAAGGCCCCTGGGAAGTACACAAACGTGAAGTCTTTAAAAAGTGTCTAGAGGAGGAAAAGGAAGGTTTTAAGTGGGACCTGGACCACTCCCTTCCCTCTAGCTTGGACTTGGAACCTCAGGGCCTGCACACTTACCCCTTCCACTCAGGAAAGAAAAGGGCACCTTAGCTCATTTCACAGCCCAGACAGCTGAGGCCTGTGCCAGCACCTCCCTCCCCTCAAGCGTGAGGCAGATAAGAGAACCCGGGAGTCCAAACCTTCTGGATTCTAGCTCAGTCCTTCCTTCCAAACGTTCTGGATTCTAGCTCAGTCCTTCCTTCCGAAGCTCCAGATCCCCCGCTAGTCACCCTGTTTGCTGGATATGCTGCCTGCCTTTCGGGATTTTCCAACCCTAACAACCCCTGACTCAGGACCCCAACCAAGTCCAGGGGCCCTGGAGATATCAGGGCAGCCTCCATTCTGCCCCTCTTCCTGGGAGTCAGAGTCGGGGAGCAGGGGCGAGCTCTCTAATCCAGCCACTTTCCCCAGGAGGGAAGGGGGAGGGATGCAGTGAGGAAGGAAGGGGGGCAGGGGAGGGGATAATGGCTCAGCCACTAATTGCACCATTACCACCTTCAAAAGAGGAAAAACCACTCTGGTTCATTTCTGTGCACAATACGCTTCTGGCTTCTGCCACCAACGTCGCAATTCAAAGGCAGAGAGGAGAAGCAGGCAGGGCACAGAGCACCGCGGCGGAGCCACAGCCACAGGCACCTGCAGGGAGGCGTGGGCAGAGCTGCACGCCACCCTCCTGCCCCAGATGCTCTAGTCTGACCCAGAAGGGATGGCTTCCACACCTAAAGCATTGAGGCCACCTTGACCTCTTGGCCAGAGGAGAGGAGAGGCAGTCTTGCTGAGTCCTTGGTGTTCCCGCATGACTTACAGGCTGTGTGATTTGGGAGGAGTATCCTAGCTTCTCTGTGTCTCAGTTGCTTCATGTGAAAATTGGGGACTACTATCCTCTACTTCCAGGACTGTCGAGTAAGATGAACACACTGTCTGACACAGCAGGCGTGTTTAAGATGTGGGGGATTATCATTACCGAGGGACTCCCCTCGCCTGACTGCGGAAGTTCACGCACGCACACCAGCATCATTCTCTGAGTCCCCGGGAGAGTTTAACTCATGGTTCAGACACCACCTTGCTCGAGCCTTGTTTGCAGCAATTCCTGTGGAACACAAGGCTGGGGCTAGGAGAGGCCACCAGCACCTCCGGTCATCAGGTGCCAGCCCATGATAACTGTGCTTCAAAAAGTAGCAAAAACAAGACACAAGTGTTCTGGGATGCTGGATTAATGGAAATTTACCATTCGGAACAAAGAAGGTGCCAGCCCTGCCTGGCCTGGGGCTGTCTCACAGCGCTCTCCTCGTCCCGCCCTCTGAGGACATGGAGGAAGTTCAGAAGCAAGGGGGCCCATGGAGAAGGTCCCAGCAGCGGGTCACGGTGACTCCAGGGACCGTGTGCAGGAGTGAAGTAGCACAGGGGCCCAGCTCATTCCCTGTCTCTGAAGGGGCCACAGGGGCCCGCAAGGTACAGGAGCAACACGGCCCCTCTCCTTGTGCCTATGAGTGCTCTTCCTGCCCGACTTCCTCCCAACACTGCTGTCTTCTTTTCCTCTTTCCCACCCAGTCTTCCACCCCTTGTCTTCATCTTTCCTCCTCATTCTATCTTTCCTGGTCCCTCTCACTTCTATTCTTGTTTCTGTCTCACTTTGTCTCCTGGTCTCTATCACTTCTCTCCCAAGCATGCAGTCCTGGGGGATGGACAGGTCCCACCCTGCAGAATCCATCCAATGATGCAGGCAGCTGGACAGCAAGGAGACAGAGGAAGAGGAGGGGGAGAGGATGAGGCCGCTGTGGCAAGTCTGTCTTACACACGCATGTGTGCACACCCCATGGAACCTCCTAGCACTAACTCAGGCATGTGGGCACTGCCTCCAATGGGCACCCCCATACTGAGTGCAATTGCCACTCTGCAGAAGAGGCACAACTGCTAATTCACTGCCTCCCCTGTGCCTGCGAGGCTGGCAGCTGGGCCCGGTGGTGGAGGGCAGCGAGGAGCCAGGCATGCCTCTGTGTCGCAGAGAGAATGAGCGATGATTGCACCAGAGGGATTGTGCCTGCCAGACTCCCTGCTCCCCAGGGCCACAGCAGGCACGAGAGCCAGCACGTGTGCCCCCATCTGCAACATGTGTGTGGTACAACGGAAGCAGGCCTGTGTGCCATGGGCTGGTGGCCAGAGCCGGAAGCCCTGCGGGTTGCTGAGCATGGCCCCAGCATGCCACATAGGGATGGGCACGTGAGCATGGGCAGTGCACCATGTCGATGAGGGGAACAGGAGACCAGGGCTGAGTTCCTGGGTGGAGATCTGAGCCTGAGGGATGCTGTGACACCCAACTCAAATCCCACCTTCCTCAGCCTATCCATGCGATCACATGCATATGCCTGCGTGTTGCAAGGTCCTGCAGGGCCTGAGGAGGAACCATGGAAAATGTGCCATCAGTAGGGTCCCCATGGGGTCTGTCCCACTAAGGGCAGCGAGCACAGGGGGCAGAACAGTGGAAAGTGGGCCAGGAGAGAGATGATCTTGCCAAGGGTCTGGGTGGAAGTGATCAGGTTAATTCATCGCAGCCAGCGATGGCAGGCCTGAGCACAGAAGGGAGGGAAGTCGGAGTCTAGGGAGTCTCCAGGTGTCCCACATAGAGACCTTCCTTGTAGAGGAAAACGAGGCAGGGAGCCACAGGACAGAGGACGATGGCTGTTGAGCCAAAGGCTGCACAGCACAACCTGCAAGAAGAACCTGAGTTCCAATCCTGGGAGAGGTGGCTGTAGGCTTTTCCCCCAGGGGCCTCTGTTTCCTCTGAGAAGGATGGGGACAATATATTCAGTGACTCCAAAGCTGTGAAAGTAGTTACGGCCTTCTCAGACCAGGCCTTGTGCTGAGAATGTTAAACATCGCACTATGTTCACCTCTCCGCAAGCTTCAGCCAGATAGGCACAACCACACCCATTTTACAGAGATGTGATGCTACTTCTCCACCCAAGGCCACGCTACTGAGGCTCAAATCCGGGTCTGCAACACTTTGGTGCTCCTGATCTGGGTTATTAAGTCTCCACCAGAGCTAGGAGGTCCTTGAGAGGGCACATGCTTCTTAAAAATAGGGGACTGAGGCCCAAGCCGCCCAAGTCAGAGGCAGTTAGGATAAAAATCCAGAACTCCTGGGTCCCAGAACAGTGTTCTTTCCCTTACCCTGTTTGCCCTCTCTCTTCCTGAGCACACTGGCAGGAGTGCTCACCTGCCCCAAGGTGGCCAGCAGGCACCTGGTGAAAAGAGGAAATGCTTCCAAGGCCCAGGAAGGTGTGGGCTCTCACGTGACTTCTGGGGGATTGGTCAGTGGGATAGGGCACCACAGCAAAGGGCCAGCTTGGATGGACTGCCATCTGGCTCCAACCTTCTAGTTAACAGATCCACTGCCACCTGGTCCAGCCACAGCAGAGACAGGGGATTCAGCAGACACTGTTGGGCTCCAGTCCCCCAGCTCTATGACTCAAGGACCCAGAGCTGCCTCTGGTTGCCCTCCTTCCTCCCTCTCCCCGCTCCACACAGAGGCTTGGGTGGTAGGAGTACCTGCCCAGCAGTGCCAATGGAGAGGGCAAGTGCATTGGTTAAAGAGGAACTCTGGAGGTTATAAGAGGCAGGAGGGCCAGGAGGTAGGCATGCTGACTGTTGGACAGAGCAGAAGACGCAGCAGGCAGAGCCTTCCAGAGAATGACCCTCCACCAAACTAAGGCCCAGACCAGCCAACATCTCTCCCTTGACCAGGCTGCAAGTAGAAGCTTGAGTGGGGCTGGTTTCTGGGTTGAGCAGAAGTCTAAATTAGACAGGGTTTGAAACTGGGCAGAGACCTGGCCAGGTCGCCTTCTCCAGAGGCACCAGGAGTAGGCACTAGGCCTCTCCAAGGCCTTAGCAGGTTTCTAGGCTTTGGGGCTGGGTTGCTTTCAGGGAGTGGGCCCTGGTACCCAAGGGCCTGCAGGGCTCCAGAAATGAAACGGGGACTAGGGCTAGAGGTTGGGCCACCTTGGGCAGGCCCAGCTCAGCAGGCACCCACATAAATTGGTGGAAGCCTGAAGCCACAGGGAGGCCCTAGCTCCATGTCTCTTGGGAAGGCCCAGCTCACAGAGCTGGAAGAAACATCCAGCAGAGCTGGAGCATCTTGACCAGTGGGCAGACTCTGGACCACCCACCCCTTGGTGCACACCTGACCCAAGAATCCACCCTAATGGGTGATTCTTCAGAGCCTACTTCCTGAGCAGGCAAAAATACTGCAGTCACCGACATCAAAAACCTCTGCAGTCCTGGCCCCTGCCCCCCCAGCTGGGCGTCGCCATCATGGAAGCAGGGAAAAGGTCCAGTGGGGAGGTGACAGGAAGCCGAAAAAACAGGGCCAGGAGGAAAGGCCTAGGACACAATGGTCACAATGTGACCAGGCCACAGTCTCACTCCAGATTGTCCCTGCAGTTGGGATGCAGTTCTCTAACCAATACTCGAGCCCCCCATCGCACTGCACGCACCCCACCCCACCCATCCCGCTCATCCACAAGCTGACGAGTCCTAACAGTCCTCCTTTGCCAGTGACAAAAATAACTATTTTCAAAATTCACAGCAGGGCTTTCGCCTACACACACTGCGCCGACTGGAACCTGAAGGGAGATATGCAGAACGCAGTGTGCGGATGGAGACGCTATGCAGCAAACAGGCTTTGCAACCCCCAGGCCCATTCTCCCCACCACTCAGCCTGTGCACCCCAAAATGCACACCCAGTGATGCCCAGAATGGCCAAGTGGAAAGGACCCTTAGATCATCTACTGTCTGTAGGGGGACTTGAGGCCCAGAGTGGGTCAGGGGTTTGCTGGATGTCACACAAGATATTTGTGGCAGGACTCATACCTTCTGCCTCCTGGCCAGGCTGCCTACCTCTTCTCCCATTCTCTCAGCTGTCCAAGAGCTCACACCCACCCCAGGACCCACATGCCCCCCACACACGTATACAGATGTGTTCACAGACGGCACCGCACTGCTCACCTCTGTGTAAGGGCATTTAATCAGTTCACAGGCTCCTTTGCAACCATTAGATGGGCCAGTCTTCTGCAGCCCTTTGAGGTAGGCAGAGCCAGGAAAGTGAGACCCAGAGGGGAAGGACTGTGCCTAAGGTCAAAGGAGATGATTGGTTCAGGGGCTCTTTTCACAGCTGTTTCTACTGCCCTTGACACTGAAGCAGCTAAGGGCATAGCCACTGTCTCTGGGTGCTCCCGGCAGAAAGAACTTTCCACCAGGGCCCTGATGCATCTGGCCAGGACTGGCCTAGCCCTTGTGAAGACCCAGAAAGCGTAGCCTCCCAACCTGGTCACCTTCATCCTCAGCACCTGCGGTCCTTAAAAGAGCAGCCAGCTCGCCAGGTTCCAGCTGGAAGCTGCCTGCAGGCGGCCCCCACCCAAGCAGCGGTAGAGACCAGGATGAAGGAAAAGGCCTTGTGCAAGCTGTGAGGCAGCAAGGCCGGCCAGGACTCTACCATGACCCCAGTGACCAAGCACATCCCACCGTCACAAAGTCATTACAGCTTGTTTTACAGATGAGGAAACTGAGGCTGGAAGCCCACATCGGTCACCTGAGGTCACAGCACAAGTCAGTGAAGAAGCAGGATGGGAACCCAGGCATTCCAGTCTGGTTTACTCCCAGCCCCCAGCTAGGTGCCCATCCTAGCCCACTGAGGGCTCTACAGCCTCCGTTTCCCTGCAGATGGAGACTCAACCTCAGGTTTCTACCTGACAAGGTACGGGACCAGGCTGAAGTGGGGAAATATATCTAGGGGACCAAGACCCTGCCACCCCACCCATCAGATCCTGTGAGACATCAGCCTGGTGTTGAGTCTACGGAAAAAGGATCGGAGCTTGCAAATCTTGCACTTTTTCTTACGGCGACCCCGGGAGAAGCTTCGAGCCCTGCTTTCCTCTTCCTCTTCCTCTTCTTCCTCATCACTGGCCCAGGGCCCCCAAGCACCCCCATTAAAGTCAGGATGAGCCCGAGGATTCTCGGCTGGGTAGCGCACAGGGATGGCAGTACGGTTATAGTCGGCCAGGCGGGCCAGCAGGGCTCGGACCACGTCGGGCCGCTGGCCAGCCAGGTCCTCCCTTTCATAAGGGTCAGCACTGATGTTGAAAAGCCACACAGCCTGGCGGACACTGGCCATCCGCTCCAGGTTCCACCAGCTGTCAGGGAAGGCAGCCAGTGTCTGTGGTGGAATCCAATCACCAGAGCCGGGGTCTCCGGTCAGCAGCTTCCACTCGCCCACACGGATGGCAGCCTGGACCGCAGTATTCCAGATGCCAAAGCCGCCCTCCAGGGAGCCGTGCCGGGCATGGTTGTAGAGCGGGTCAATGTTGTGCAGGATCTCCGTACGAGGCGAGGCCCGGCCCTCACTGATGGCTGGCCACACATCATAGCCGTCCAGCCCATCGGCTGCTGACACGGTGCCACCTGCCAGACCCACCAGGGTTGGGTACCAGTCAGTGATATGCACTAGTGCATGGCTGGTCCGTCGCTTTCGCTTGAGCAAAGGGCTGTGGATGAAGCCCAGACCCCGCACACCCCCTTCCCAGTAAGTGCCTTTGCGTCCTCGGAGGGGCCAATTGCTGCCTCCTGAAAAAGTCTGGCCGCCATTGTCACTGGAGAAAATGATGACACTGTTGTTGTAGAAACCATAGCGTTTGAGGGCCCAGGTGATGTTGCGCACAGCCTCGTCCATGCAGGTCACCATGGCTGCGTACTTCCTCCGGGCCACGTTGCCCATGGTGCGGTAGCGGTACAGATACTCCCGGGGGGACTGCAGGGGCGTGTGCACAGCCTGGAAGGCCACATAGAGGAAGAGGGGCTGCTGGGGGCTGTGACTGGCCAGGATGTGACTGGCACGCTGGGCATAGAGCATGGTGGAGTACTGGCCGCTGAGCCCCCAGGCTACACTCTCCCCCTCGTGCAGGTCGAAGCCGCACACCCCTGGGCCATCACAGTTATCATAGGTATAGTAGTCCACATTTCCTGTGAGGGAGCCCAGGAAGGTGTCAAAGCCCCTGCGCGTGGGCAGGCACTCCTTCCGGTAAAAGCCCAGATGCCACTTGCCCACCATGTGGGTAGAGTAACCTGCCTCCTGCAGCTTCTGGGGCAGGGTCACCTGGTCCAGGGGCAAGCAGTTGGGCTGCCGAGGGCGGATGATGGAGTGCTGGAGGCCTGTATGGATCTGGTATCTGGTTGGGGGTGGGGAGAAGAGAGCACAGGTGAGCTATAGACCACTGGTCCCACCAACCAACCCCAACACTATCCCAAGGTGAGCTCTGGTCCCAGGACTACCAGCAAACATAGCAACAACAACCAGGTATTACCTAAGGGGGTAAGCAGCTCAATGCAGTATCTCACTGAATCCTCAAAATCAACTGAAGGAGGTATTATTATCAATGTACAGATGAGATGGAAGCTCAGAATGGTTAAACCAACTGCCCAGCTAGGAAGTTGGGGAATTAAGAATTGAACCTAGATTAATAATGACAAAAACAGTAGCTAACATGAAGCACTCCCTGTGAGCTTGACATCATGCTAAACCCTTTGAATTATCTTACTAAATCCTCACCACAAACTAGGAGGTATGTGCAATTACTCCCATTTCCCAAATAAGGAAACTAAGGCTCAGCAAATTAAATTGCTTGTCTGGTGATTCACATTGCGAGTAGTTGGAATGGCATTTGTATCCCAGGCAGTCTGGCTCCAAACTTGACAGTCCCTGAGCTCTCTAAGTCATTAACTTGCTATGAAGCCTACAAGTCCTGCTTTCCCAGGCAAACTCCTACTCACTCTTGAAAGCCCAGCTCAAATGTTATCCCAACTATAATGTCTCTCATAGCTCTCCCAAAGATGGAGTCACTTTTGCTTCTATGTTTCCCAGCATTTAGTACACACGCTCATTGTCCTACTTGGCCGTGGAATCTTACTCAGTTGTCCATGCTCTTGGGCTCAATGACAGGTAACAAAACTGTCCTTTACTCAACTTTGTATTCCTAGCACCCAGGTAATATTTAAAGCACAGTCAGTTATTTATGAATTGAATGACTGAATGAATGGCACTCAGAGGGTTTTAGAGCCAGAAGGATCCATCTCCTCTCCTGATTTATTCACCTACTCTCTAAAAGAAACTCAGGTCAGAAGAAAGGAAGGGCCCTTCCCAAGGTCACTCAGTGGTCAAGGGCAGCACCAAGACTTCAACAGAAATCCAAGCAAAGCTCACGCAGGAGCTTGTTTTCAGCAACCTAGGCCGTCACATCCCTCCCCTCATGGGGGCTTCGGCTTGCTCATGTGTACAACAGGCTCTTGGCGTGGGAAATCTCTAAGACCCATCTATTTCCCAGATTTTAGGAGACCAGCTCCCATATGCCTTCTTCTGAGCTCGTGTGGCCCCTGGATCCAGGTCATTCACAAAGCCTAAGACTCTAAGGCATAAGTAAACGTTAGCAAAATCCTGAATTCCTCATTTAGTCATTCATATCCCATCTTTCTCCTTCTGTGGTCAAAGGCAACATGTTATCTGCTTTATGGCATCTTTTTTTTTTTTTTTGAGACAGTCTCACTATGTAGTTCAAGCCGGCCTTGAACTCACTGCAATCCTCCTGCCTCAGCCTCCTGAGTGTTGGGATTACAGGTCTGCGCCACCACACCCCAGATTTGCTTCTGACGTCTTACAAATCCTAGAGTAAACAAGAAGCCTGGAACTTCCCAAATATGTTAGGACTCCATATCCTTTTCTCACTCCCAGGTATCCAAGCCAGCCAAGACCTGAGTTCTTGATACATCGGTAGGTGAGGGGGGTTCTGTTTTGATTTCTTTATTTTAAAGCTGTTACTAGTGTTAGCTATAATTAGCTACTACTGCTATTTTTAACATTATGTGACATACATGTACATTATCTCACTTAATCATCATTTTAAAAATCTATGCAGAAGACTATTATTGCTCCCATTCTACAGATGATGAAAAGAGGCTCCCAAAAGTATAGCAACTGGCCCAAGATCAGAAAGCTGGCAAACAGTGGCACTGACCTCTGACCCCCTGGCTACCCAATCTATGCTCAAAATCTTTGGTGAAACAGCCCCTCCAGGCCTTGGTCAAGCCGATAAAATGACTGCACTCTCTTGACAGGAGCACCCTAGGGCCGCAGGGCCCTGATTCTTCACTGAGCTGCTCTTCATAAACCTGGGTTGCCTCGGAACACTGGCTTGTAAGGTCAGCAGGCTGGCCAAAGCCTATCCCATGTAAGTAATCCAAGAAACTGCAGCTCTCTCTCGCTCCACCAAACAGGACCCGGTGCATTAACAAATGCTAACAAGCACATGGAGCATAGAGCACGGGTCAGAGGCAGCCAGCTGCAGAGGGTGGAGGGCAGACGCCGCCCGCCGGGCTCAGCTAACTTCACGGATCAGGAGGCTGGAGCGCTGCCCTGTTGGCGACTCATTCCACTGCTTAAACCAGAAGTCACCACTCTCTAGGCAGAGAAAGGCTAACTTGTACAAAATGCTAGGAATGCAGATTCCTCCTGCCTTCACCACCAGGATCACAGCTCCACCTGTAAAAGACACACACCCAGCCCCTCCTCCTCCCATCTCGCCTTCTCTGTCCCTGGAGCTGAACCCTAAGCGCTAGATCCAAGGAACAAAGGGCTCACCATTGCCCACCCCCCAGCTCCAGAGCTCTTACCAAGCAGCCCCGTCTCCCACAAGGCCCAGAAATTTGCCCCAGGCCTGAGGCTGGGACCTCCTTGACTTCCTGCCTCAGTTTCTCTCCACCCAGAAAACAGGGACTACAGCTGGAGGTAGAACTTGGGAGAAAACATGACTTGGCTCCCTTGCAAGGAGGATTAGCTTCAGCCCTGTCACAGGACTTCCTCCCAAGTGGCCAGGGCTTACCTTCCACAGCCCACCTCCCGTTTCCCTGCTCTTTTAACCCTGCAATCCTTCTGCCCTGCCGGGGGAGTCTCCCCAAGGAGAAAGCAGCACGTCTTCTTCGGGCTCCTCGCCAACCTCAGAGGATTTTGCAGATGAAGAAACAGAGATTTGAAGAGTGAAGGAACCAGCCCATCTGTGTGTGTCTTTCTCTCCCACCTGTCAATTCCGTGTGTTGTGACGGAATAGTGCAGGGACCAGGATCCCTCCAGTGACAGCTGCCACATACTAACGGCCAAGCAGGTGACACACAACTCATTCCACACTCACTACTCCCTTTCAACTGTTCTTTGCCCCATTTTATAGACAAGAAAACTGAGGTGTAACACAGTATGGAGGCTCAGGGTCTGTCAATAGGCATGGCATTCAAAATAAATGTCACAGGCTGCCACAGTCCCCTAACAACAGGATAACCAGACAGCTCTGCATTGTGTGAAAGGTGCACATCCTAGAACACCAGAGGGAGATCTTTCGATCATCAAACCCATTCGGTATTATGGGGGGCAAGTTGAGGCCCAAAGAGAGCAGAGGACTTCCAGTGATTGCTCAGCCACTGGAATGAGAGAAAACCCATACCAAAGGCTTCCCGGGTCCCAGCCAGGGCTTGTTCTGACAGGAGAATCTGACTGGTGTCCTGGGGGCTTCCATACCCAGGTACAAGGGTCCTGCCACACCTACCTGCCAGTGAGGAGCTGGCTCCGTGAAGGCGTGCAGATGGGCTGGATATAGTAATTCTCCAACTTGACGCCCTCTGCTGCCAGCCGGTCCAGCGTAGGGGTCTCAATATCTGAGCCATGGTAGCCCACGTCGTGATAGCCCTGGTCGTCGGTGAGGATGAAGATGATATGGGGAGGTTGGGGTGGAGCAGCGGAGGGCTGTTCTGCGCTGTCCTCCCGGGGCCCGTCAGCCACGAGGCTCGGCTTGGCCCAGTCCCAGGACAGGTAGCCGAAGCTGAGCAGGCTGACCAGAGAGAAGCCCGTGAGGGCGTGCATCTCCAAGCCGGCCCTCCAGTCCAGGCGCAGCAGGGCTCCCCAGGCCTCGTTGCCACGCGCGCCCAGGGCGCACGGCTCGCCAGCCCACCTGGATGCTCCGGGAGCGCCCAGTGACCCTCCCGGGCAGGCAGCGGCTTCAGCCGGGCACCTGGGAAGGTCAGGCCCGCGCCGAGTTTCCCCTGGCCGCCCCAGTGCCCGCCCTGCACCGCCCTCGCTCCCTCTCTCCCAGCTTAGCCGCGCCAGCCTGGGATGCAGCGTGGCGGCCTCCAAAAAGTGCTCTCCACCATCCTGTGCCTCTCCTCTTCCTTTTTGTCCTGGATTTCTCCCGCCTCCTAATTTCTCTAGCCTCTGCTTTCCCTTTCTCCTCCCCCCACCCCGACCCTCCAGTCCGAGGCTGGCCTCTGGCCCCGCCCGGAGTCTCAGAACAGTCGGGCTCCCCGCAGGGAGGTGGGCAGGACCCCGGAGGGAAAGGGAGGGAGATACGGACTGGGTGGGCTGGGCGGACCTGGGGGGGACACCGCGGGAGAGAATGCGAGAAAGTTGTAACATCTGCCCCGCGGAGACCCAGGTGGAGGGGCGGGACGTGAGCGAGGGCTCCTCCCTCGGGCGGGAGCTCAGACCTGCCAGCCCGCTTGGGCCCCCGCCCCTTCCCGGGACTGAGAGAGAAGGGAGGGGGCCGCTTGGAATTCGGTGAAACAACTCTGGAATAGCCCAGTGAGACATTCCTGGATCATGAAGTCTTAGCGTTTGTGAGCGCCGGCCGTGGAAGGGGCGCGCATCATTTTCTAGGCCAGCCGGTGCCATGTACGGGTGAGAAACTGAGGTCCTGACGTGGATGGGAGAGCGTCTAGGTCACAGAGTGGTAAAAGGGAAGCCATCGTCCACTCGGGAAAGGCACCAGGAGGGGAGATGCACCCGGGCCCACTTTGCTTAGTGGCTTCTTCGTTGGGGTTCACAGTGGCTGCTTGAGTAAGCGGCTCCCTTCCCTGAGCTGGCCCTCTGGCAAGTTTGGTCCTTTCCAGCTTCCCCTTCCTCAGAGCCTTCCCTTTCTCATTTTGCAGTTCCCAACTAGAACCTCTGGGCACCAGCTTTGGGAGCCGGAGGGCAGGACGCTGTATACATCTTACATCCCCTGGGTCCAGCACACAGGTCAGCCTCTGCTGCAGGACGGAATGCGTTAGTGGGTTTCCAGGGCCAGCCAGGCCAACTCCCACCAAGGACAAGTCTGTGCTAGAGCAGTTGGGGACTTGGGACTGTGTCCAAGGGAGCAAGGGTGGGGCAGTGCTGCCACAGGGAAGCACAGGGCCTGCAGCCAGTTAGACTGAAACCTTGTTTCCAGCTGCCCGATGTCACCCAAGAATGTAGCCCAGCGTTTCGGATCTTCTGCTTTCTCGTGAAGAATGCCCAAGTCCAGATTAATGTGAGAATGTGAACTGTTTGCTTTAAAGGAGAATTTCAGCCTGTGTAGGCCAAATCAAATCTGTCCAAAGAAGATATCAAGCCATGGGGCTCTTGGTAACCTCAGCTCTCATCATTGTCTTCCAGATTTTTAACAGGCTGTACTTTCTGCATTTTCAAATGGGAAAACTAGACTAAACAAATCGAGCTAGGCTTAACTTTACTCCGAGGACTTCACACATTTAACACGCTCCCTGCTGATCTCCAGAAGCGGGTGGGTAAATCTGAATTTCACAGAGTTATGTGGCCAAAGACTTTTTCTCAGAGCTGCTAGAAGGGGTGATGTCTCAGGAACCTGGGGAAATGAAGCTGGCCTGGTGCCTCTGCCCTGCTCGTGCCGCTCCCCTGCCAAGATTGCTTCCCTTTTGCTGAAAACCACTGTGGATGGGGAAAGAAACCAGGCCCCCAAAATAGCAGCCTGTTGAGAATCTGCATTTTGAAATGAGGGCTGCGTGGGGCCAGCAGCTCCTGTTTGCTCAAAGCCCCATATTTAGGTGACCAGATTTATCAGAAGGGAGAACTGAGCCTGTTGTTCTGGCAGAAAAAAAAAAAAATGTTGAGGACAGGAAAAGCAACCTTCCTGAGGGGACAGCTGCTAAAATGGTGCTTCCAGAGGCTTCAGCCCAGGCTGTCCTGGGTGTCAAAGTGGGACAAGTTACTAAAGGTCAGGCAAACCCAGGCTTTGCATTCTTTACATTTTCCCGGACCTTAGTCAGAGGAGCTAGTCATAGCTGCCTTCCCCTTTCTCCACACATAGAGAGAAATGGTAAGGTGGTTGGAGTAGGTTTTCAGCCTGGCCCAAAAAGTGTCTGTGGGGCTCTGCCAGGTAGGGGCAAGACAGGCAGTATTTCAGAATCCAAGACCATAGGCTCTTCTGTTTTGTTTTTGTTTTCTTCCGGTACCAGGAATCGAACTCACGACCTTGTGCTTGCCAGGCAGGCGCTGTGCCGCTGAGCTAAATCCCCAGACCAAGACCATAGATTCTGACATTAGGCTGCTTGAGTTCATATGCTACTGCTTATTCAGGATCTGGCCTAATTTCTTGGTCTGTAAAATGGGATAATAACACAAACGAGATATGCTTCAATGGTCAGTAAAATGGCAAACACAGGGTAAGCACTCAATCAGTGTAATCCTCGGTACTTTTGAGAGGAAGGACTAAGTCCTGTGGGTGAAAGTCACCAGGAGACAGACTTCAGGCCAATTTAAAGAATTACTTTTATAGGAACTCTGGCAGCTTGCTTAACAAAAGGATGGCAGTAACGGGTGAATCACCATGTGGAGAGGAGTGGGGGCCAACTTTTGTTCCCCAGCATTTGCATTTCTGTTAGGAGGCCCTTGGTAATCACCAAAACCCACAGTGGCCTCCTAGGGCACCATTCCCCCTCTAATGCTGTAGGGATGTAAACACAGGACCTCAGCTCTGGCTTAAATGCCATTCCACAGCTGGGCCAGGCTGGAACATTTAAACCAGACATTTCCAAAGCCTCAGGGATGACAAGATGGAAATAAACACAAAGTGTGATGGGAATCCAGGTCACCCCGCTTTCAAGACTGGCTACTTCTCTTCCCTTTGTGTCCTCTCCAGGGTGCTTAGCTGCCTTCTAGAACAGTGTCCATCGGCCCTATTCCCACCCAACCAGACTCTCAAAGTTCCAAGACATTCAAGTTCAGGCTCAGGAGGAAGATTCAGAGAAGTAGACATTCCCTGTCCCATAGGCTAATCTAGCCTTTGCATTTTCCATACCAGCCCCAGCTGCATCCAAGGTGATTGGCATCAGAAATGCCCACCCGTGGAAGCAAAGATCTACCCCATTCACATAGATGCTTTATCCCATAACCCTCAAGAGATATCCACGTTAAAACACGACAGGAAACCTAACATCTGCCCACAAAATGTAGATCAGATGTGGCAGGGGTGTAGTTTTGCTACTTCCTAACTGTCAGAGATTTCACTTCCATTGATGAGATCAGACTTCAAAAAGCACTGAATTCCCTATAACTGGATCTAAGCAAGAAGTCAAAAAAAGGGCCTATGTGCATAGGTGGCAACAGAAGAGATTCCTGAACTAAAACAGGAAGCAGAACTAAGACTTTGAAAGTTCATTCCAACTTGAAAAGATCATTATTCTGTTTGTCCTCAGATAGCTTTATAGAATGTAGAAATAAAAAAGTGAAAAATTAGATAAGTCTGTTTTGTGTTTTTGGTTTTTGTTGCTCTGTGTGTGTGTGTGTGTGTGTGTGTGTGTGTGTGTGTGCTCACGCATGCACAGGAGTGAATAGGTAAGTATTTATGTTTGGTCACCTTTGAATTAAAATTGTCTTAGTATAGGGCTGGGGATTTAGCTCAGCGGCACAGCGCCTGCCTGGCAAGTGCAAGGTCATGAGTTCGATTCCCGGTACCAGAATTAAAATTATCTTAGTATAAATATTATTTCCTCCTAACGTATTGCCCTTGGCAAAGACCATGTGCACAGTGTTATGGTTTACATCTAGATGTCCTTCCTTAGATCATGGGATTGTCCACTGATGAGTTTATCGCTAAATGTGATATTGGGAGATGAAGGCTGGTCGGAGGAGATGGGTCACTAAGGTATGGCCTGGAAAGGTGTATCTCTCTCCCTCTACTTCTTGCCACCATGATATGAGCTGTTTCCCTTCTGCCATGCCACCCTGCCTTGGAGCCAACTGACTATGCACCGAAACCTCTACAAACTGTGAGCCAAAATACTTTCCTCCTTAGAGCTGTGGGTGTCCAGTACTGTGTCTCAGTGAAGAGAAAGTAACTAAGACACATAGAATATGCACACTGACATCTTTCACTGGAGGTTAGTTTTTCTGGGCTGGACCACTTAAAGAATACAAGAAAACACAGAAAGCCTTTGAACAGTCAGAAATACTATACCACAGAGCTCAATCCCTTCCCTCAGAGGAGAGCTCCCCAGACCTTCCTTACTCCAAGCCTATTGACTCTTACTTCATATACAATTCTCACAATGCTAATCATTTCATTCCTCATATAAGAATATTAGAAGCAGCTCAGAAGGAATATATAGGAAGGTAGCTTGAAGCAATTGCCTATTTTATAGCTGTTCAGTTTCATAGTACAACACTGAAAAGAAATAAAATAAACATAAAATCAGATTGGTGAATTCCAAAAGCCTGGGAATTTGGGGCCATTTGAGGCAGTAGCAAAGAGCTATATCCATCAGAATAGACCCAAGGGCATCTGAATAGACCCACCACGACCAAAAAGAAAATGATGGATTGCTCCTCCAGGTTTGAAGTCTGTTCAAGATCTTTTTAAGAAGGCAAGGAAAGTTATTGTCGATTTTTTAAGGTTTCCATCCAAAATGATCAATATGCACAATGAGTTCCCTTTCAGTTGTATGATATCATCCTTAGACGTGGTCGCAGGAAGGCGGTTTAGTGATTCCTGGTTCTCACTGTAACTTCCATGTTCTATAGTAGTGCCTCATTAATCATAATTAACTAATGATTCACAGAAAGGTCAGAAGTGTTTAAGAAAGCCATGCTAGCTGTGTTATGGAGAGTGGGTGTCAGGGCCCTGGTCAGAAGTCCAGGAGAGATAGGCTGCCTGGACGAGTCATTCCAATAGGCAGGCTGAGGGGGCGGCTCAAGACCCAGGGTTTGCTGCCTGTTACTTGGACAAAATGGTTTGTGGAGGAGAAAGTTTTCCACCATGATGCTAGGGCAGTCCCTTAGCACTGTAGGAGGAAGACGTGTATCTGCTCTGACCCTCATTTCCGGCCCTCTGGGTGGTCTCACTGAGTGCCCCTTAGTGGTCAGGATCCCCATAGCAGCCGCTGGACCCAGCAGTGGCAAGAGCCTGGGCACTCAGAGCCCCCTTGCCTTTAACCCTTCACAGGGCCCAGCCATGGGCATTTCAATGGCTCCTTTCTCTGGCGCTCAATGCAACATTCTTCCAAGTGGATTATTGAAAGCAGAGCTCCAGCTGCACAATGGGCACTCTGTGCTCACAGCCGCGGCCCAATCTGTTTGCCCAGCTCTACTGCGGCCTCGCCTCTATGCACACTCCCCATCCTCCGCCACCCGACCCCGGCCCCACCCGAG